ATGTTGTAGAATATTTAGCAGCATTTTTGGACTCTGCCCAGGAGATGCCAAGATCACGCCACCTTCAGTTATGACAATCAAAACTGTCTCCAGACATTGGAAAATGTCCCCAAGAGTAGAGGCACAATCAGTCTGCAACTGTCATCCTTTGAAAATAACTTTTAAATGTATCACTTGTATCCAGCATCTAATTGGCATTTGCCACCTTTAAAGAAACAGGGTGGAGTATTATTCTTTTAATAAATAACTTGTCCCATCCTATCTTTGATGTTTGATCTTATTCTGACCTTTAATTGTGCATGTGGGTGTGTGTATCTGCTTATGTTCCCTATGCTTCCTATCTTTTGTTGAATGTCTTTTATTTTGTTTGCATGTGCGTGTGTGCCTGCTTGTGTGTGACATTTCCTTTTTCTGAGTTAGAAGGCTGCTAATCTGTTTTCCATATTTTTAGCGGTTATAATAATTGCATCATCTGTCGATTCCCTTCCTTTTTTAGAAAATTAGCTTGATTTTATCTAATGATTTCCCACTCTGAGCCATGAAAAAATAACAGGCTCATATGTCTTCCTATCTTGGACAACAGGTGTAATGTTGCTAGTTTTTTTAAGCTTACTTTTTTGCTCATTTTATTAGAATTAGGGAGAGCCAGAATTCTGTGATCTCCTTATCTCAGAAATCCTCATAATCACTGTGTACCTTAACTTTCCCTCTGTAATTTACATACACGCACTAATATATGTATATATATATACACACACACACATGCAGTAATATCTATCTATATAGAAAGTATATGTGTATATGTGTGTCTGTGCAGAGAGCAATTGGTCAACAGAACATTCCATCAATTATTATTTATATTTCAATCCCAAACGATAGAGAGTTTTCTAAACAAATGTCACTGGAGTTACTCCTTGAGTATCAAAGTATATATTATGTTGGTAATACATTTTTCACTTAATGAATAAATTAAAGGAAAAAAGGGAAATGTCTCAGATAAGATATTTTAGGCAAATTTCAACAGAAAAATGTATTGCAGGATGGTGGGTATATAGACTAGAACTGAAGTATATTTCCTGTGAAGTACTTGCTCTACTTCTCAATCTGAATTCTTTCAATACACTAAAAATGATGACCCATGGAGGAAGGCAGAGATGACAGCTGTCAGTAAATGTACGGCTCTATGAGTTATTACACTGTTGAAATACTTCTCTTCGGATCAGTACAGATTTGCTGCCCTGACTCCTCCCAACTGCCCTAGTCCTTCCCCAAGGACACTGACAGTCTCACCACAATTGAACAATTAAAGAATTAATGCCTATCAGGGAGTACGGCACCCTCAGGGACCCTGGTCTGTTGCTGGAGTGTTCTGTTCTGTTTGGTGGTACCCATGCTAATTATAAAATTTAAAATTATCCCTGGAAGTAGCAATGGCTCAGAGTCCCACTTCCCATTAGATGATGACTCCATGTGTGTGTGTCCATATCTATATATAGATATATATCTCCCTGAAAGCGGTCATGCTTTAGAACTACTTCCCATTTGACAAGAGATCCACACACACACAATGTTGGAGTATGAAGAATCTTTTAAAAGGAAAGTTATTATCTGCCCCACTTTGCATTAGCCTACAGCCAGTATTTGACACTTTTACTTTAAAAACTGTAATCTTAAAGAGTGAATCTGCGAAGTTTCCAGACACATCAGCCTTAGGTCTGGATTTGTCATATATCACCTGTTAAAATTTGTCCAAAGGTACACATTGTTCAGAACAAACATGTGACAAGATACTCTTAGGAGAAGCTAACACAGAGAACTCAGAGAATTAAATCAGAGGACATGAATATTGTATCAGTGAAAAGAAATTACAAGAGAAATTTCCAAACGCTTCCATTATGGCTTTATTATGTAAGGAGCAAATGCCCTCAAGACCCTGCTAACAGCGTCTTAGATTAAGAATTTGGGTTCTGGAGTTACTTAAGGAAGCTGATGACCTGTAAAGCCCTGGCAGAGATAAGCATTAAATACAAACACTTAGGGAAAAATGTACATCTTAATATGCATGAAATTGACGTACATAGAGGATGTAACAAAATCATTATTTTTGGTTATCCTGAAAAAAGTGCAATTCAAGAAAGCACCATTGTGATTGATTCTTTTTCCAACATACCCTTCATATTTGCTGTTATTTTTTATAGAAAACAACATACAACCTATCTGATCTTTCAGTCCAGGTTTTGGAAGATGGCTGTTGGGAATTCTTAAATCCATTAACAATACACTTTTCATCATTTTCAACTTTCACTTTGTTAAAGGCAATTCATGACTAATATAATTTGAAATACCATTGTGATCCTATTATCTGATGGCTTTTAAACTTCATTTCTTTTACTTAATATCCCACATAATATCTTGCAGCAGACACCTTTCAAGCTTTGTGATATATTTTTAACACTTTTGCATCACAAATGAGACAAGAAAAAAACAGTGCTATTCCAAATTTAAAAATAAACAAAAGAAAATTCAAAGAAACTACAAGCTCTATTCCTAATTAGTAAAAAAAGAAACCTGATGTTACTTAACGTTAAAAATTAGAATCATTTAGAAGAGATGACAAAATCGTTCATTAGTTTCAGGTACTAAAAATTTCATGGCAACTCTAACATCATTTCAGCTATATATTCCAGCTTTTGACAGAAATCAATCATCAGCTTCAGGTATATCGTAAGTCCCCAAATGGCAAACAAATGAAGTTTTGTAAATAAAAACAGATAAGTCTATTCTCAGTGAATGTCTTTATTGCTCTAAATTATGGACAGGGTTTGGTAAAGAGAAAGATCTTTAAAAGAGTCACGTACAAAAATTAAGGTGAAAGGTAGGTGTAGATAGCAGAAAAAATAGGACAACTATGATTCTTTGCATAAAATATGCCTTTTGCATTATTAGATATTGCAACATCCCATTAACAGGAAATGGGGGGGGGAGACAGTGAGGCAGAAAGGAAGCAAAGAAAGTTTACAGAGAAATATGCCCTTCTTTGGAGTCAAATAAATCAATTGGCCTCCCAGAATAAACACAACTCAGGTGTTCCTAGATAGCTTTTTTCCTGGCCATCTACAAGAGTCACAACACCTTTAAGTTTTAACATTATGTTGTCAGTTCTTACAGCAGATTTTCCTATTCCTAAGTTTCTAGAAGAAGAGGGCAATGGAGGGCAGCATTAATTTCTCTACCCTGGTCTCTTAATAATTCAGACTTTCACTGTCCAGGAGAAAAAAAAAATGGATACCTCGTAGAGTCAATGAAATCCTGTCCCAGCTTCAGACTGATAGAGCCTATATATCACCACACTTGTTGCCTAGGATGTAAAATTTAGTACTGCTTACACTAAGGCAATTAGATAGTTTTTAAGGGATGCTACTCATTAAGTAGTAATTCATTACGATTTTTAGCTCTCCATAAGAGCATTTGGAAAATTGCTAAGGCACAATTATGGTAGTCAAAATTATGGAAAAAGTCAATGCCATTGAAAGGAATTATTTAAAACATTACTTCACCTGTTGATTTACCAGGAGAGGCATATGGTGACATTGAAGCTAATGGTCATGGGCTGCTTTAGATGCAAGGACTTAAAAATGAGAGAAAGTCGTCAACAACCCAGTTCTTATTCATTATAATCATTTCATTTAGGAAATCTCTAAGAGGCAGATGGAAATTTTGAGCCTATGAAGAAAGATGACTTTTGTCAGCTTGGCCCTGGAGGGGTGCTGGGTCATGGAAATAAAGTGGTCATAAATTAGTGACAGTTCGTCCACCCTATCCTTGAGGAGAATGCAAATTATTGCCTAGAATTTTGTCTTCCTACATCATACTCTGGTGTGTGTGTGTGTTCGTCCTTGAAAACCACTATAGTGCTTCCCCAGAATAAACTCCTGAAGGGCAGAGGTGATTTCTTGTTCATGCCCAACTGTGTTTGTTAAATGATTCAATTCCAAGTCTTCTTTACATCCCTCCTGATCCCTCGTGAAGTAATAATCCTTCCAGCATCTCAGTTGGCCAATCACTTCAATATTTTTTTTTAGACTTTATTTATTTATTCATGAGAGACAGAGACATAGGCAGAGGAAGAGGCAGGCTCCCTGTGGGGAGCCAGATGCGGGACTTGATCCCAGGACCCCAGATCACAACCTGAGCGGAAGGTGGACTCTCAACCACTGAGCCACCCAGGTGTCCCAATCACTTCAATATTCTTGATGCTGAATCTCTCCAGGCCTTGGTTCTTTAATCTGTCAACTGGGGTTGCTCATCTCAATTTACATAAATGTTAAAAGAAATGAAGAGATGAAAATACTCATTTTAAAACAAAGTACCATACATACATGTCATTTTGAAAAGAACAAAACAGAATGTGTAAAAGCAAGAAAAAGATGCAGGCAAACATAAGGAGAGCATGATGGGGGATTGAATGTACCACATTCTCCTTATTCTATATTCCCTGATATTTCCTGGGTCAGTTGTGAAATCATGATTTCACCTCACAATTTTGAACTAGGAAAAAAAGAATCCCCTTTGCTAATACAGGAGACATCTAAGTGAAATATAATGCTATCTTCAAGAACCTGCAGAGAAATAAAGGTAAATTTTAAAGCAAATGACTTCTGTAGTGACACAGGCCCTTTCACTCAAAATAGTCTCCAGATCTCACCTTCATCATTTCTCTCATTTCCTTTTCGTCTAATTAATCAAAATCCTTCCTAGAATGTTCATTTCTGGTCAGTATGTCTTCCTGAATATGAATAAGAAATAAAATATCATTTGATGTTTGAAATTATGGGGGTAATCTCAATGACGGAAACAGATGACTGGCAAAAGGGAAGGGAATGCCTAGTTAAATATATTCATGAAGATGTTAAAGGCTTATAAAGCCAATATCTGGGAGAGAGAAAGCTGTTGGACTACCAGATCTCTGGCGACGTGTGTTTCTCGAAAGCTTCGCCACCATGGATAACAAAGGGTGGTCGCTGAAAGGTATGTGCAACAACTCGTGGAATTGCTGAATTATCATCAATACTCTTCAGGGGGGTGGCACTCATTTGAAATTTTAGCTAATATTCTCTGAGCAAGAGGTTTCAAGTTTACAGAGTTTAGAAGAGCTATCTAGTCATTGCTCTGGAAAGCAATTGTACAAGGGCACAGTAGAACACTCATTCTCAAATGAAGATCCTCCTTCCAGAGACATTGGCTAATGTCTGAGATGTTTTTGGTTGCCTTAATTCGGAATGGGGGGTGCCACTGATACCTAGTGGGTAAAACTCAGAGATGCTGCTAAATGTACCACAATACACAGGACAGCTCCCAGAACAAGGAATTATCCAGCTCAAAGTGCCAATAATGGCAAATTTGAGAAATTCTGGCCTGGGATAAGACCATAAATCTCTATGATCCAATTTATCACAACTCCAGAAGGTAGATATTAACATTTTCAGGTTTTTAGACTCTGACATGGTTTGGCCACAATGAGTCAGCCTGGTAAAACTTTCAACTTTGAAGTCGTAATATATGGACAATGATAGTAGAATTGTCTCTTATAATACTTTGTCAACTGGGTTTAAGCCAAGTGACATTTCAAAAAAGAAAAACAGCCTGGTAATAATTAACCATCTTTACTTTCTTGGTTGACATTTGCAAGAAAAAGAAATTAGCAACAACCATAAAATTTATTTTATGAAATGAAGAACAAAAACATTTATCTATTTTATCTCCTCTTTAGACTGTGAGAATCCTTCAGATGATAAATGTACAGATAAATGTAGTCAGAGTTAAATAATATCTATGAAGTTATGAATTTCCTAGAACTGATATTCCAATTTCTTGATCTGCAGCGTACTTTTTATTTATACCTGTAGATTAAATATCTGCTCAGCTAAATTACATGACTATAAAGTACCTAAAATAAACTTTTTAGAAGTATCATGTGTTGGAAAATTTAAAAGTCTGTTATACGATTCACCTCACAACATTTAGATCTTTCATTTTGCAGTTAACAGATTGTGAGTTGCATTTTCTATTAACAAAATTTTTAGATATTTTAGGCATTTAGGCTTAGGATGTTTTTCACACATAAATCTCTGATAAATGTCCAAGATTTGAAAAGTGGGTGGGTTTTTTTTTTTTTTTGTTCTTGTTTAAGATGGAACAGAAGAAAGGGATAAAATCAACTTTCTAGGCCATTGTTAGCATGGATTAAAGACAAAGTACTGTTCTTTCCAAGTAATGGCAGTGACTCTGCAAGCACCGAGCCATTGTCATGCTCCTGGTTACAGGGATGCTGCCTGAGAGCCCACAGGTGTGTGGGACAACCACATGACAAAGTCAAAGTGATAATACAGGTGACCAGCTCCACCTGCTAATCATAGGACTTGAGGGAAATCACTTAACCTCTCTAAGCCTTCTGCTTCATCAATGTAATTTGATGATAATAATGAAGGTCAAAGTACTCACAAGGTAACCGGGAAACACAAATTAAAAAAAAAAAATTCAAAGCCTTTGGTAAGGGGTCAAGCAATCACATAGGGTTTTTAAGGTGAGTTAGCAGAGCTAGGCCATAGTATCATCTCATGTTAGATTCTCTTCATACTCCCTATTAGCCATTGCCGATCATATTTATTCTCATCAGGCATGAAAGTAAGACAAACAGGTCTACTGTGCTATGGTTGCCATTTCAGGGTTTAAAAGGAGTAGTCAACACAGAGCTAAAAAGTTATAAATTCATAGAAAGCCCAGCTGCTGGAAATCTGCAGAAACTCCCAAGATGTTAAACTACCTTATAAGAATGACTTAAACACCCTGGCTCAGAGTTAATTTAAGCTCCAAATGTTTGCAAAGTACAGAAGGACTCCTGGGAGCAATACAAAAATGCAGGGAGTAACCTACTTCTCAAACTTTGTATCTGTGCAAATATAATTCTATATCTAAATTTACACAGCAGGAGGCCCGGGTTCTTCCCCACCCTGGCTATAACAGTACCAAATCCGGCTAAGGGCAGGGGAGAGATAAAGCTTCCCGGACAGAATTACTTTTGATAACCTCAGCTGCACAGATCACCTCAGAGTGGTTTGTGTTTTTATTTGAGCAGGGTCACTCCTGCTCCTGCTGCTGCTGGTGTCAGACCTGCTCCTGTGCCAGAGCGTGGCCTCCCTGCCCATCTGTCCCAGCGGGGCTGTCAACTGCCAGGTGTCCCTCCGAGACCTGTTTGACCGTGCAGTCATCCTGTCTCACTACATCCACAACCTCTCCTCGGAAATGTTCAACGAATTTGTAAGTATCCTACTCCTTGCTTCTTCCCGGAAGGAACCTTACGTGAATGATGGGGCTCCCCCCACACCTTAAACATGAAAGCTGCAGGAGCCAAATCTCAAATAACACACTTTGTAGATTCTTTAAAAAGCCATCAGTTCATAAAATGTGGAACAAGAAAGGGACAGTTTTGTGAAACCTCAAGGTTTCTTAAAGAGTTATAAGAACTCTTTAAAATTTTCCTTGAATTCATTGTGTTTAAAATTTTTTCCAACAAATTTTTTAAGTACCTGTATTAGCCAGCTGGGGCTGCCATAATAGAAATCCCCAGGTTGGGTGGCTTAAACATAAATGTATTTTCTGACAGTTCTAGAGGCTGGAAGTCTGAGATCAGGATGCCAACATGGTCAGGTCCTGAGAAGGGCACACATCTTCCAATCATGCCTTTGCCCTGTCTTCATGGTGGCAGAGAGTGAGTGGGGGTGGGAGTGGGAGGTTCTCTGGTGTCTCTTCTTGTAAGGACACGAATCCTATTGGATCAGGGCTCCACCCTTATGACATCATTTTACCTTACTTACCTCCATAATGGCCCTATCTTCAAATACAGAACATTGGGGGTCAGGACTTCAACATAGGAATTTCGGGAGAACACAACCTATCACTCCTTAACAACATCTGGCATAAAATACTTGTGGGTGGTATTTGAGAAAATGGATGCATGCTGATTTCTTGTCCTTGTGTGTAGAGCACATGTCTCCCTAGGCATTTGTCGTCTAGCATACTAGATATTTTAAAAAATGAGAATCACACTGCTCTGAACAGAATTCATCACAAGAAAGTTAACACAAACAATAAACAAACAAGAATAGCTCTTCTGAAAACCAAGAATGCTATAAATTATTGTTCTAAGATAATCTAGTTCTAGATTCAGAACTAGAGTTGAAGTGTTGGTTTAGAATTGAAAACAATATTCTAGTTCTGATTATGGTACTTTGAAAGTTGTATCAGATCTCTTAGGTCGACCAAGGAGCAAACAGTGTACAAAAGGTTCAATAAATCAGAGCCACTATAAAGAATGTAGCTCAATGCTTGTAATAAATATATATTCCATAGTTCTCTGTATTCATGGAATTTTCTTTCATCCTCAACTTTTTCATAGCCATTCCTTTGTCTTTCACATCTTCCTGGTAATCTCCTTAGATTTTCACAGCTTTGGGGAGAGATTAGCTTTATGCCAATGCTTTAGCTAGTTGTTGAGCAAGGGGTCTGTGTGTGTGTATTTTCATTGAGTCCACTGACTAATATTTCCTAAAGTATTATACCCTGTTTTTTTTACTTACCATTTTGAAGAATTGACAAAATTTTATTATGTACCTATGATGAGCATGGTAAAGTACAGTTGTGTGGATTTACATGTTGGTCAAAGAAAAGTCATAATTTTGTAATGCCTATTAGGGGATCATATTGGCTTGGACCCCCAGTAAACAAAATATTAAATGGCAAAATATAGGTACATATGCACTAGGACATTGGTTCAAATACTAAAGAAAGAGTATACTTAACAAAAATACTTAATGTTTCATATTTTAGTATTTGCTTTCCAAATAGTATCTCATGGAAAGGGTAAAATTAAACAAAAAAAAAAAATCACAAAGAAGGGAATAGGTTGGAATTTTTTTTAAAGAGTTTATCTATTTATTCATGAGAGACACACAGAGAGAGGCAGAGACATAGGCAGAGGGAAAAGAAGGCTCCCCGTGGGGAGCCCAATGTAGGACTTGATCCCAGGACTCTGGGATCATGACCCCAGCCAAAGGCAGACACTCAACCACTGAGCCACCCAGGTGCCCAAGGTTGGGATTTAGAAAAGTGATATATATATATATATATACGTTTAATGCATTGATAGAGAAAAATCTAAATGAAAGGCAGGGAAAGGGTAACTTTTTCTCAATTCTTTAGTTTTAGTTTTTTATGTAGTTCTCATTTAAAAAAAAAAGATTATACATCTATCAAGTGTGTTAATATTCTGGTAATGGGCTCATTTAACCAATGCTCAAACAACTATAACTAATTAAATTTGCTTGCTCGCTTTCAGGATAAAAGGTATGCCCAGGGCCGGGGGTTCATTACCAAGGCCATCAACAGCTGTCACACCTCCTCCCTCTCTACCCCTGAAGACAAGGAGCAAGCCCAACAGATCCACGTAAGTCTTCTATCCAGCTTTCTCACCAATACCACTGAGGCAGTACACTGGTGTTAACAAGCTACAGAGTATCAGAGCTCCTGCATTAAGTAATGCTAATCATACAGGCAGAGAAATAGGAAGAGCAAGTAATCTGAGAGAAATGACAGAATATAATTGAGGAAGCATCAGTAAAACCAGATGCTGACTACAGATTGTAGCAACAAAATAAAAAAAAAAATCTATAAGTAAGTAAATAAATAAAAAAAAATCTATAAGTAAGTAAATAAATAAATAAAAATCTATAAGTTTTTCATACAAACAACATTATTTTAATCAATGGCTTGAACCCAGGATCACATATATTATACCAATATGAAAGTCCAAACTGAATTGTACTTCCATGATGTATAAAATAGAAGGTTTGAGAAATTCATGGATAGGTAAGAAATGCAAATGCAGCTCTATTTATTACATGATACCCTTGGCTGCTCCACTGGCAGCATTTCACATTACTGAGCACAGCACCAGGTGAGCCATCTCTTCTAGACTTTGAAGGCTCTCCTTCTGATTCTACTTCTACTTCTTTGACACCTAGTTCTGTCTTCAATCCTCTCTGACTTCTCTGTCACTTCTCACTTCTTATTTGTAAGATTCCCCCAAATTAGGTCCTGTAAACAATGATTGCCTGTGTTCTGGTGACCACAAAATCTGCCTAGGAAGCCCCAATCATTTATCCCAATTATTTTTTATCATAATAATCTCTTCCTTCTGATTTCCTGCCACAACCACAGTCTTAACATGACTTAAAATAAGCATCTTCACATATATATCCTCATGAATACAATCTGCTTTCTCTTCACAACTTTGTTAATGGGTACTGGCATTCTTTCTGTCTACTAAGCTCATTAATAGTACTTATGATAATGATGATAATGATGATGATAAAATTAAGGGAAAGGGTGAAGAAGGATGAGGAGGAGTTAAAATTTATTGAGAGCCACTGCACTTCCAGACACTTCACAAAGCAATGTACATGCATTACTGTTGCTAATCATCACACACACACAAATCCTAGAACACTAGGCACTCTTATCACATTTGCTGAGATGAGGAAACTGAAGCTTAAAGAGGTGATAGAATTTGGATTAGTGATGGGGTGGTAAGCTGTGAGTCTTAGCTTCATTCAGTTTGAACCCCTCACCCTTAATCGCTGTGCTACAACTAACATGCTAGCATAACCAGACGGCCATTCACTCTGCAGCTTATACATCCTTCACTTCGTATCCCAGGACATCTTTCTATCTCCACATCTGTTTGATTCTTCTCTACTCTTCACTTCCTTTACACTAGACTAGTTCATGGACCTCAGGAAAGCAAGCATTTTAAATCAAGGCCAAGCAGCTCCTAAGAGTTTCATGTGCGATCCCAACAGTGGGAAAATAGGGGGCAAACCTCCCTTGTAAATTCCACCAAAGCTGTTACTACAGCTAGCATCGTACCATTTTATTCATCAACACAGGTCAACAGAAGAGCCTGCTCTGGTAGCTGCCCGGGGGCAGGTGTTGGTACAGATTGAGGAGAGCATATTCATGAGTCCCATGTCTTCTTCACTGTCCCTTTGTTCTAATATCATAAAATAAAACCTACAAATCACAAATGAATACATTAAAGGATGATGTGATTCATTAATATGAATGTGTCCTTGGATGAAGGAAGATGATTTGGGCCTTTTGTCATTGGCACTAGTGGAATCTGCCTTTCCTGGGTTAGACACACAGTTGAGTTCCAACAAAGCTCTTTTTTGGACAAGCAAAGCTGTCAGATATATAAGAACTCACTGAGTGGGTGGATAGTCAAATTTCCAAGGGAAAACAAAATTCTTCCTGCTATAAACTAGAATTCTCATCCGAGGAAGTAGTTATTCAAACAATCCAGATTTTTTTTTTTAATTTTAGCAAAGTTTAAGCCAATAGCTTAAACCTTTTTATTTTTACAACTTTAACCACCTACAAAAAATCTCACATACACATAAGAATAACAAAGAGATAATTTAGGTCAGCCTCTCAGAGCAAAAATCACAAGTGACTAAACCCACTGTCTTATGCATTATCTATTCTATTCTAGTCTTATGCATTATCTATTCTGTTCTATTCTATTCTATTCTATTCTATTCTATTCTATTCTATTCTATTCTATTCGAGAGAGAACAAGTAGAGGGAACAGCAGAGAGAGAAGAAGTAGGCTCCCTGCTGAGCAGGGAGCCTGACATGGAGCTCGATCCCAGGACCCTGAAGGCAGACGCTTAACTGACTGAGCCATGCAGGCACCCCCTGTATTATGCTTTTTTAAATACGATTGTTTTATATGGTCACTTAGCATGAAGACCTTCTGAATCTGATACTGAGGGTGCTGCGCTCCTGGAATGACCCCCTGTATCATCTAGTCACAGAAGTGCGGGGGATGCAAGAAGCCCCAGATGCAATTCTATCCAGAGCCATAGAGATTGAAGAACAAAACAGAAGACTTCTAGAGGGTATGGAGAAGATAGTTGGCCAGGTGAGCAGCCTCCTGATGCTTCTTTGTTTTCTTCATTGATGAAAGAGGTGACCTCCATGTTGAGAAGCAAGTTCCAAAATACCTCTCTTTGAAAGTACAAAATTTAGGCATTTTATATCCTAGGCTGCTATTAAATAATGTAAGATTCTAGTAATTCACACGGATAGAATCTATGGTAAGTGAATCTTAGGATATGATACATGACAGGTGCAGCCATCCCCATATGACATACAAATCCACCAAAGGCTTGCCCTTTCCTGGGGACCAGGGTTCACAATATCTTCCAGGAAAAGACAACTGAAGGGTGGAACTGGCAAGATAAACGTTTCTCTTAAAGTATCCCAGGATACCTGCTGCTGAAATTCTGCTCATGTTCTTTCTCTTTTCTCCCCACACCAGAGGATGACAGTGGGAATGGAGAAAAGAGAAAAGTAAAATCAGATGAGACAGCATTTTGTGCTACTACCCCAGCCCCACCTCTATTGGACACATTTGTCAGAGAGAGAAGAGACTGTCAGGGATTGAAAAGATGAGGTCAGGGCATCAGTGCTGTCTCACAAGCACCAGATTTCAGGGGGGGTCACAAAAGAAGGGAGCATAACTTTTTGAAATGTTCTTTATTTTGTCACTTGCAGAATAGTGGTTTCCTCTAAATTCTGTGTTTTCTTTGGGGAGGGGGCTCCAAAATCAACAGTCATGTCATTACATTTAATCTCCCCAAATAATGTCATATTTAGACTAAGTTAATATTTACAATATAGATCTCCGATCAGATGGAATAATTTTGGCAAAAGTGAGGTAACATTCAAATAGCTTTATGAAGTTGTCAGGAATGATGTATCATTCTAAAGAAGAAGATGGGACTGTAAGAATAACCAGAGTGATTTTATTCTTTCCTTACTATCTACAAACTATATGTTATCATGTGTCCTTTTTGTCACTTTCATGGAGAGGAATATATCCAACACAAATACAAACCACATTTCCACCTTGAGGCATATGAAATAAACACCTAGATTTTCAAGTTATTTTCATCATTACTGTCAATTTACATTCTGATGTCACTGATTTGTTCTAGAATACTTGGTATTTTTTTGTTTGTTTGTTTGTTTTTTTTTTTTTTTTTTAACCATTTCTTGATTCTTATTCATATCATTGTCCCTTGCACAGTAAATTTCATCTTAGGGCCCAAGCACCAAAAAATAAACAGAAAAGCAAGACAACAAATACACACAGTACAAATAAACACACTTTATATTACAATGGGAAATCCTAGGTTTAAAAATTACTCTTACTCTATAAGAGATGGTTCAGTAGCTCAGCGTCACACTTGGACTCAGGAGCTCTCAAAGCAACTGACATGCCTAGTTGCCAAGCTGGCTACTCGGTCTCTCAGTCCTCTGGGGATTTGCCAGCTTGCAAGGGCTTGGGAAGCAGAGATCAGGGTGCCTCTCCCTCATGTTCCTTAGTGTCCTTTTGTTATCATTGTCATGCTTCCCAGCCTACCACCCACCCCTCACCATTGAGGGGTCACTGCTAGCATCCTCACTCTTTTTCATAGGCACTTTTCTCAACAACTCCCACTCCAGAGATCTCAAAACAAAGTACCTTTTGCTCATAGACATTTGGGGGTTCTCAGTCCTGGGTAGATTGTGAAAGTCTCCTAATTCAGCAGATACTCTTTGTGATAGATGTCACTAGATTATCTGCATCTTAAACCATCAGGTGCAATCCTTATCATTTCTGAGGTCTTTCATACATACACAACATGGAATATATTATCAGTTTGAAGCAGGGAATAGATAAATGTAATTACGCTGACCTATCAGAAGAAATACGGTACAAAGAACATATCAGAAACAAGGTGTAGGACATGAAATAGATCTTCAAGTTAGAGAAAAACCATATATATATGGCACAACTATATTGCAACTGAATCTCTCTCAATATGTAGCACCTTTGTGGTTGGTTCTCTGTTTATTCCTATGCTCTCATACTTCATCTGTGATCACATACACATTAGAACACTTACACTTGAATTCAGCTTCCACTTTTTATACTATTAATAGATTTATGATACACTGGCTCAATAATATGTGCCTTTATCTAGAGAGCTTTACATTCATGCTTCTTCCCCAAATCTTCAGGAATAAAGATAAGCAAATACTAATAATACCAAGTCACTATCTTTTGGTGATTAGGTTCATCCTGGAATCAGAGAAAATGAGGTCTACTCTGTCTGGTCAGGACTTCCATCCCTGCAGATGGCGGATGAAGACACTCGCCTTTTTGCTTTTTATAACCTACTCCACTGCCTACGCAGGGATTCACATAAGATTGACAATTATCTCAAGCTCCTGAAGTGCCGAATCGTCTACGACAGCAACTGCTAAGCCCACATCCATTCTATCTATTTCTGGGAAGGTTCTTAATGATCCGTCCCATCGCAAGGTTCTCTTAGCTTTATAGCTTTTTAATGCATGCTTGGGTATAATGGGTCTCATCTTAAAAAATAAAAACTGACTCCTTAGAGATGTCAAAAAAATGGCAATTTGTCAAAGTTTCTTATCTTCATTTAATAGAAAATAAAAAGAAAATCCATCACTACCATTGAGAAGTTCCTATTAAAATGTGTCACAAATAGCAGAAGCTAGCATTACAAATAAGACCATAAACAGCTTCTTTTAAAATCATAGTAAATTATTACAGGTCACATTATTAGAATCAAAGAATTAGGTAATTATTCATCATGCTTGTCATTCTACCAAGAAGAGTGAACTCTCAGCATCATTATGAAAGTCAGCTACACACTATCAGCTAACTCTCACAGTGTTCCAACGGACAACCTAAGCACTCTGAGGCTGTGATGCACCCTCATACCATAAAGTTTACTGAGCCATCTGCAACTGAGTCCATTCTGGCTGTTATAACAAAACATCATGGACTTAAAAACAATAGAAATTTACTTCTACGGCATGTCCAGGTGAGGGTTCTCTCCCAGGTCCCAGACTTCTGCTGTGTTCCAGAGTAGTGAAAGGACCCAGGGAAGCTCTGTGGGGTCTCTATAAGAGTACTAATTCCATCATGAGGGCTCCACCCTCATAACTTAATCACCCCCCCCAAACCCCCACCTACTAATACTATTGCCTTCTAGCATTTAGGATTTCAACATATGAAATTTGGAGGGTTAGAAATATTCAGACCACAGAAGATTTAAACAAGAAATGGCATTATTCTTCTCCAGTGGCTGTTTTCAACTATGTACCACTGAGCTCATCTTGTTGGCCTTATCATGGATGCATCCTATGGGTTCTAGTCACTCTGGATCTCATAAGTCCATTCACTTCTCAACTCCATTTTATATTCAACCTGTTTAAGATTTTCCTCTGCCCTTTTGTGGCTCATAGGACCTACCAGGGGAAGCAGGTGTTGTCAATTTCTGCAAGGTTTCTTTCCCTCCTACTTCTGGATCTTCATCTCTCATTGCTATGCTAGAATGGGAGAGAGTACGAGGAGAGATGGGCAAGTTCTGGCATCACTGACTTCTGTGGTGCTGCCGTAGCCTTATCATTGCCAATAGAAACTAACCTTGAATTCCCTCAAGTGGCAAGTGTCTCTCTTGTGAGACATCCTTGTGATTTTCAAGGATATTTATAAGTGGGACACCCCCACTGTCTAGTTTCTTTACCAGGGGATATTCTCTGGCTTGATTCTTTATCTACCCCACATTTGTGCCACTTGCAGTATTCTCCCCAGCCTCTGCTGCTGCTCCCCTTGCCTTGCCAGCAGCCTACCAGAGAAAATTGGCTCAGGGTCATCTCTCTACTAGGGAACCCACAGCAAACTCATGCATCATAACCATTCCAAAATTTGGGTAGCTATTATACTGTTTTCCTTTTATCCCATCCTGGAGTCCCTGACAATCCTTTTCTCTTCCTGTTCACATAGACACAAGTGGATCAGAAAGTTGGATTCATAAACACACATCAATGATGGATGATACATAGTTTTCCCCTTCTTTAGAAACAGTGAATAATTATCTCTGTCAATAATTGTCTTAGAGAGTTGGTCTTGCAAATACTCCCTGCTGGGCCACTGAATCACAACCTTCTCATATACTTAGTCTCCTGCTGGAGAAAGGTAACTGGATTAGGGTAGCTCAGCTTGTCCAACTGCTGCTAAACAACCCAGGATTAGGGCTGATCTCTGCTAGCTCTCCTTAGAAGGCAGTGGGATTGCGAGGCTGTTTCTGCAGCAGCTTTAGGGATTTGGCATGAATTCCTAGACAACAGACAAGAGGAAATACACCATCCAACATCCTGCGAGAGAGGATATAAAAAGTTAAAGCAGGAGGAGGATGAAGAGGGAAGGGGTGGGGAGAAGAAGGGGAAATGTGAGTAAAAGACTTGAGTTGTGAAGGATGAGATGATATCAGTACTGTATTTGGTGACAACTTGAATCTATTGCTTTATTTTTACACCCTAAGAGCAAATATTATCTCATATTCTCCTCATATTCCACTTTATTCTTCTCTCTTCCTTTTCTGAAATTTCCTTTGTATTAGAATATTCTTTGCCCTTACTGATTAACTTGCAATAGCTCTAGAGACAAGCAGAAATTGACACATCTTCTGATCAGAACTCAAAGCAATTTCCCTCAACCATGTGGTGAAGCCTTTCTCATAAAGACAGGAACACTGTCCAACAAAACTAATCTCTTCCCTCGCGGCCAGGATTATTTTTATTTGAGTCCTGCTTCTGCCTCTAGCTGTGCTGACCCAAACCTTTTAGAACACAACAGAAATCTCTGCCCTAAACCAATCATGAACCTCCCTTTTCTCCTGGATGCATACAAAATGTCAGCTTTCTCATATTTCAGTTTTCTTTTAAAAGTATGAGAAAAAAACCTGTATGCGCTTCCTTTCTCAGTCATTTATTGCTGGAAATATCTAATTCTATTGTGTTACAACTTAACTCCCTTTCCTTCAATTTCTAGATATTTCCAACAGAGAGGATGGTATTTATAAGGGGTGAAATTTGGCAATAAATGGACAATGCAATTGTATGAAACATAAGTTCATCATTAGCTCACAGACATCTTCATGTATTCTTCTCTTATAAAGTTTATTCCCAGCACAAGTTCAAGACTTCAGATAAATAACTGAGGTGGTGATATTAAAAGGTTTCTCTCAGCTTGACCATGACATATAAACTGAATACTGTAGTTTTCAGACAAGATTGAGCAGAGCCATGGGTGTTCTGTAGAGTCAGCAAGGGGCAGGTGGAAAGGGGATATTTGGGAAGAATATAACAATCACTCCCCTGCCAACCAGAGTGAGTCTATTTTTTTGCTTCTTTTATGGATTTCCGTGTAAGATTACATTTGAAGAAACAGGCCCTGTTATAGGAAGAACAGCAGCAGTGATTACAAAAGAGAAACAAACAAACAAAAATCCTTGAAATGCACTGATCTCATAGATTTGTCAATCACATATCCTGAGCATGATAAGGACTAAAAGAGATTTTAAAAATCTCTATCTTCCAGAAGTTTGCTCTCAAGTTGTGGAGAGAGTGACATAAACATGCAAATTACTATCCTATGTGGTAGAGAATAGTCAGTACACCAAGTGATGCTAACCAAAGTACTAGAGTGAATTCAAGACAATGAGAAGATATCTAGTTGTGAGAACAAGCAAGTTTTATGGACTTAGGGTTTCTTCAAGGAGTTGTGAGGGGTTGATGGGATATTGATAGGCACAAATAGGATAGTATATCTGTCAATTCATTTAAAATCATTTTGGAATGTCAGTATCTCCTGCATTCTGAACTGTTAATCTAAAAGGAACCGGGCTGTTAATATTTATAGGTATCAGCAAATAATTAAGTTGATCAAAACACACAAAAAAGTTCACTTTTTTTAACAAACATGCAATAGCACTCATTATTATGCTCAGGTGATATACTATACACATTACTGCAGGATAGCAATAGGAAGCAATTCAGGGATTGCTTATGTATTGTGGAGGATCATATACGTCAATTTGGAAAGTTTGTACTTATTCTACAAGGCAATAGGAAATTAGGAAATTTTAGTTCAAGAGAGCAATATGTCCAGAATTGGAAAAGAGAAGCAATAATCTGGTTTGGAGGGTTGTGGGAGTATTGGACTGGAAGGAAAAAGAAGCAGGTCCAGAAACAAGTTGGAATACTATTATGACACTCTAAAAGAAAATCAAAGATGACTCTGCCAAGCTGAAAGAAACAAAGTATATGAGATGTGTAGGTACAGAACAGGGCTTGACCAAATTGAAGAAATGAGGGAGACATTAAGAATCAAAAGGGTATCCAAGTACATGAGACTGGATGAATAAATAAAGGATGGGAAAGCCAGAGAGAAGAGGGGAGATCAAATAAGTTTTTGTTCAATGCATCTGAACTTAATTTTCCTGTATTTCATCAACTTTGTACCCGAAACCATCAAAAATTGTAGGTTACTTTAGCAAATGACAGAAATGAGTACACTCAAGAGCCATGGCTAGACTATATCAAATACCAGAACCAAAGCATTTATACTATCCAGTAATAATGAGTACTAAGTCACTGGTCTCTTTCAACACTAACATAAGGCATACATTGTAAAGCACAGTGGATGAGTAAGAATAAAATGAAAACAATTCATTTCTTTACAGAGCCAGCTCTGCAAAAAACCTAAATAAAAGTCATGCCCACCTCCCCAAAATTTGTCTTACCCTCTCCAGAAGTTTCTCATTCTCCTCTCATGAATCCTCTCCTGTTTCCTATCCCATTATTGTTTTAATCCCAGCAGATGGTCAAGAATCAAGAATTAAATAAATAATTTAAAAGTATCTACTCCTAAGATAATATTCATATTTAAAGATTCTTGAAACTGGGAAGCCTTTAATCCCCTGAAAATATAGCTCTAATAGTGAGATGACTGCCCTCCAGCATCTTTCCAAAATGCCCTGTAGGCATCTAGATATGACTCTGCCAGTCAGAAAGCTTTTGCAATAACTATAACCTATTGGACAGCAAAGATAGAAAAGACAAATGGAGCAATGAACAACATTCAGAAAGCAATGCATGAAGAAATGGAAAAGATAACATAGGTTTTAAAAAAGGTCCACAGGGAACACCAAGGTAGCTCAGTGGTTGAGCATCTGCCTTTGGCTCAGGGTGTGATCCCAGAGTCCCGGAATTGAGTCCCACATCAGGCTCCCCACATGGAGCCTGCTTCTCCCTCTGCCTATGCCTCTGCCTCTCTCACTCTGTGTCTCTCATGAATAAATAAATAATATCTTCAAAACAAAACAAAACAAAACAGGTCCACACTTGCATGCCATACCAGCACAACAGGAGCCAGGAAAGCCTCAGTG